ACCAAAGAATCTCTTCGTTTCACACTTGCACGGCAGAGAGGACTCATTAGACATTGGATGCCGACGGAGCTACTTCATACCTGGAATGTAAAAAGTGATATTTTTATTCACCTATGATATTTGGAAAAACAATTCTATGTAAATGCACTCCTTTTACCTAGTCTAATACACCTTGGAAAAACTCAACCCAATTAACTTTATCTCTCGATATATTAAAGTGTCTAGCCAATTTAAGGGTGACAAGCATATAATCCATTTATTTTCTTTTCTTTTTTGTATGTAAGTGGAGTTTCGAGACTACCAGTAAATAAGTAATATGAGATGTATTCATACTATATCGTTTAAGGTGATGAAGCACTGGTAGTAGAATTTTCCCACAATGATATGTGTAGAGCTTACGTTTCCATTCAATTTCACATAGTCTTGCTTTACCAAAAGTTATTCTCATCTGGGGAGAGAACATTGTGGAAAAATTATACTACCAGTCCTTTATCACCTTAAACGAAATAGGGTAAAAACAGCTCATGTTTTCTTTTAGCATGGCAACACTTATTCAGGTGTCCTCATCGCCTATTTATTTGTATGAATCTAGGCACAGGATATGGTACGGTGAAGTTGAAGTTGTGTGCCAATGGGAAAAACTTCGAGCAAAGTATGAGATATCCATTAACTATTGACTTCCTTGCAGAAGCAAACTGATTAATCGCACGAAGTATGGCAAAAGCGTAAGAGGAAGACCACAAGGATACATCAACATGAGGTTTTAGGGACACTTAGGCATGGGTATTGCAGGACTTTAAAATTTGAATAAGGAGTATTCTGTGGTCTTTCGGGTCTGAGACGAATGATCTCTTTGCACACGCTTTGGCTGAGCATAGAGTACTACTGAGATAAATCAAATAAGTGTGTAGTAAGTAGTAATAAGTAGAAATTATTTAATTGGGGCATAAGGAAAGACCCTTAATTAGCCACAATAAGGATTTAGACTAAAGGTTTATGCACAACTTGCAACTGGGTTTTGAGAAATCTCTTGAGATAAATTTTCTGGGCTAGCCTCCCTTTTTTGTGGGAGTCTCTGAACAAGGGATTCGTACCATGACTTCATCAGAGGGAAGCTGGTGAGTCTGGTTGCCTTTAAGGCGTTTCAAACTACTATGACGCTAAGGTTGGCGCATCCATACGAAATCCTCCTTCGGTCTCGACAAAGGCTGGCTGATCTTTCATACGAAGAAAAGTTGGGTTTCGAGGAATCTCTTGTTTCATAATTGTTGGGATTACTTCCATTTCGAGTAAGTGTTGGGTGAAGAGATTCGAAAGTCGGTTCCACCAGAAGACGACGGCGAATTCCTCTTGACCAGCTGTCGATCGGCTTTACTGGAAGATTCATGCTGACGCTGTTTCCAAGGCAATCTCCTTCGATTCCGCTGAGCTTTCGTCCGTCATATGAAGAACATCATCCGAGCGAGGTATCATCGTCACAACAAAATTCAAGCTTACGAGTCAAGAAAACTCACCGGCAAATCCCTAAAAAGTGGTATATCTCTAGATCTGGCCTATTTGATCGAGACAGACACACTCGCATGCATAGAAGTTGACATATGACCTTTACTAACCAAATCACCTTATACTCGATCAAATAGGCCAGATGTAGAGTTTATATACCATTTTTTAGGGATTTGCCGGTGAGTTTTCTTGACTCGTAAGCTTGAATTTTGTTGTGACGATAATACCTCGCTCGGATGATATTCATCATATGACGGACGAAAGCTCAGCGGAATCGAAGGAGATTGCCTTGGAAACAGCGTCAGCATGAATCTTC